CCACCAAGGCTTCGTGTGTGGTAAGCACTTGACACATTTGTAAACCTCTGTTATCCCTCAGCTTTTGTCACTATTGGGTAGTTGTGTCGAGTAACTATGCAGACAACTCTTTACCTTGTGATGTTTATATGATGTGTGAGTTATTTCAAAGTAGATAAATTCGGTTAATGGGAAATAGGCTAAATACACAGATAATCAGCTAGTTGAGCATCGTGATTTAAGCTCGTCATTCTAGCTTGGAACCGTTCTTCAAAGGTCCTTTCTGTGTTGTATCTGTAAGTTGTGCTGAGTACTTAGATTGGCTGATGGATGCTGTCATACTGACAGAAATTCAGATTCCAACCACATTAAATTGCTTTGCCCTGTCAACGTGGTTGCTAGCGCACTAATTTCCCTGACTGCTTCATATTTCGACGTCTGCCTTCTCCTAGACCTGTCCTTTAGTTCCAGTTCAAACCGACCCAGGCTTCAAGGAACAATGCGAGGAGCAAACAAACCTCTCTTCTGTGATAATTCAATGGACCATTGAACTCATGGCCGCCGAGCTTGGTAATTGTGGCAATATTTACTCCTGAAAGCTTCACTTGTCAAAGAACTCACGAATTCACTAAATCTGCGTAGCAGTCACTTCCATTCGAGTTAGATTTGGTGGCATTTATCACATTGCTATTAAGATTTGCCTCGAAAAATGAATCTCCAATAAGCTTACCTGATAGTCGAGCTTTTCCTCCTGTTATTCAATCTAATTTGTGTTTTGACAAGTAGTGGTTGCGTTGGATTGAAGTAATCAATCGAATAAGTTGACCTTTCGTGCATGTTTTGGTGCTCATCTCTCTTGTTCTTTATGCTCAATTCACTAGCTCGAGCACCTTCGCGAGTTTGCGTTGAAGTGCACAGAAGAGCGCGCCCTTTCAATGCGAGCTCATCACTTCTTGGAACTGAGTCAAGTGGAGGCCCGTGGTTATCACGCGGAGCCGGAACGACTTCAGTTGACACTGGCAGCTCACATTAAGCTGCTCGTGGAAAACGGTCTGGGCGGGGAGGAGGCATTGCGGCAGTGGAGTTGCGTGTCTCCCTGGGCATCTGTCTACTCAGAGGAGGATCTGACGCGCCAGTTAAATTACATGGGCACGCAACCCGTCTTCTATCATGATCAACAGGCGGTAGGCAAAGTGACTTACATGTGTGCGTTTTGATAATTTAATCGGTATACTTGTT